CTATCACTTATTCTATTATTATTATCTTACTTCTCCATCTAGTAATTTCTGTGTTGTGTTTATTTTGTTAAAGATGTTTGTTAAGGGCTTAGTTCCCTCATGCAATGTACTACCATACAGGAACTTTGGCCCAATTTTGGAACAACTTTAAAAATTTGTAAAAAATTCAATTTTAATCAGAATAAGCTAAAACTACCTATGCAACATAAGTACATGTATATGCATCAGAAAATATTATAAAAATGGTGTTTTCTATCCTAGTCATTTTTCATGAAAATTAATACTCCTGTACTATTATACATGCTGATTTGTCAAATTTTGAGCAACTTTAAAAATTCATAAAAAGTTTAACGTTGATTAGAATCACATGTAGCTCAATGCAAATGCTTACGTAATGCAAATAATAGTAACAGTCTATCAGTACAATGATTCAATGAACTATCATTATTAAATTTCACTAGAATTAGCTCAAATGTACATGTAAGTACATGTACATATATAATAGTATCAGTCCATCAGTATGACACATGCTTTCACTATCATGCATTGTTATAGTTATTCATTTCTTAGAGTACAATATACATGTATTATGAATTCATGAATAAAATCGATGATATTGCGACCATCATTAAACTATCATGCATCCATTTCTTAGTAGTACAAATACAGTATATGGGGGTATATTTCACGGGGATTTAATTTCACTAATTTCGCAATTTTAAAAAAATCCGTGAAATATTTATCTGTGATAATTATTTTTTATTATACTAATAGTGGTCAGTAGAAAAAAAAACGCAAAAAATTTTCTTGTGAATATAGGTTAAAAGGTGATTTTGGTGAAATATTTTTCAGAGAAATATACCCCATGTATTATGCATTCATCACAAATAACAAAAAAATATAGTCAAATAAAGATACTATTAAAGGAGCCTTTCTCTCATTTCCAGCTCCAGTGTTACTGTTTATTACCTTGGAGAGGATGATCTCAGGAGCCAAATACTCAGGAGTACCACAAAGGGTCCAAGTCCAAAGTCAGTTACCTTTAAAAATTTTAAATTTAAATTTCAAGATTTAAAAATTAAATATTAAAAAATATTATATTTTATTAGTTATTTAATATTACGCATGCATTTCACAATTATAATTATACTAACTTTAACATAGCCATGCTGATCAATGAGAAGATTTTCAGGATCAAATCTCTACAAGATAAAATGGAAGGACATAAAGAAAGAGCTCACTGCTTGTACTGCTAGAGTAACAATGCAATATAATGTAGTACATGCCTGTATATTTATATAAAATGAATAAAAGATACAATTTATATTCACAAAATTAACAATGTACAATATGCTGTACAGCTGGTTTTATTTTGTGGCCTTAAATTTTTCTTGTTTAAACTTTGGAATTAATTTTAGTGGATTTGAGCCAGATGAAAATCAATTTATCAATTTAGCACAAAATAAACCAGTTATACAGTGTGCCTTTGCTTTACCAATAGACAATGTCTAAGTAGTGGAGGTACAGTGAAGCATAGAACCTTGAATGAGACTCACTAGAAAAGACAAAATGGGCAAAAAATAAATAATAATAAATTATCAACAAAACTAGGTTCAGGTTAATTAACTCTCACTCATTCAAATCAATTATATGCCAATACAAAATTAAATACAAATGCACAAAAATAACTGTCCCACACACAAAGTATGTACATACATAAACAATACACATATAATATGCACATAAACATGCACACATACATACACATGTACACATTTACATATTGTGTGTACTGAATGCATCAGATAAGGAATTTGATTCCGTTCCGATTTGGCTTAAATTTGCAGAACCAAATGATTGTGTTTTGAAATTAGTTTGAATCTTTAGTAGCAAATTGGACAAGCAAAGACATTGTATTTGTGGGCCAGTGGTAAATTCACTGCACTAATTGCAGATCAATTTTGCTTATCAAAAACACTACTGAGAGCTTCTTGTAAAGATAAAGCACAAGAGAGCTAAGCCTAAAGAATGTTTGTGAGCTGACAATTTAAGCCTTATAATATATAACATGTGGTTATTTGGACCAATGTACATCTATATGCATAAAGTAGATAGTACATACCTAAAACAACGTATTCTCCTCAAATGAGAGAACATTTCTCCTCCAGGGACAAACTGAAGCAACATGTACAGATAGGAATTATCCTATTAAAAGTAAACAAAATGTAATAAATGCAGATATTTTTGTACAGTGCAAGCCCTTTGTACATGTATGTACATATTTATGCCCCCAAAAACTGATTACTAAATTTCTTTAAATTCAAGGTGGTACATTGATTACTGCAG